CGTCATTTTGAGCACGTTTTCTTGGATTTCGCAATGGCGTAGGATTTGCGTCTGATTCGACGCCATCACCTGTTTTTCTATGCCCTATGCACTGCAGGTTCTCATATGCCGTAGAGCCGTGGACCGCTTAAATGGTCCCCCTAGACGTCTAAACGCAAGGGGGCGGTGCAATCAGCTGCTACGGTGTAAAGTGAGAAATTAATTTTTCTTTCTTTACACTGTGTATTGACCGTTCCAATCCGGTATCATTATTACATTCACTGTGATCTGTTTTATTTTCATTTCTTCCTAAAGCAATACTTCTTCTAGCCGTGAATGAGTCATGAGGGCGAGTCGAATCTCTTTCGGTGTTCTCTGTTCTCCGCCTACTGCCACAACCTATTGCTAGGTAATTTGACCATCGTATCATCCCAGTGTGTTCTTAGACCACTTCTCGAGAGTGGTGGTCGAGCACAACCGAAACCTAGTTTGTAATTCTTGACCTCCACCGGTTGTCTCTCAGGCCAACCACGTGGCCGATCCATCTGCGCCTGGCGTGATTGCAAGCAAAAATAATGTCTGTTGGTTCAGTCAGAAGGGGAGAGAGCTTTAATACTGTTTGCTCCATCGCTCTTTGCCTGACCATCAATTGGTTTTCTTCGGATTCAATAGCAGACCAACATTAAGCATGGTGGGTCATGGTGCAGGGCGGCTAAATCGAGCAGTTCCTTTTTCATCTCCAAGACAGCTCATTGTTGAGCAGCAATGCCGCGCTACAATTAAGGCTCCCCGTCCCTCCTTTTTTCTTCAGAGGCTTTTTCATCTTATTTAAACTTGATATGCGGAAGTGCCGACGTTTCAGTCCATTTTTGTCGTTGTACTCGCGTATGTAAACGGAATGGAAACACGATCTTTGATGCCAATGGCCGAAATGGCTTCTAATTCAAGCTACTGAATTTGCTCGTTCGGTAGAACGTCAGACTCACAACTCAGAGATCTTCGTTTCATTCGCCTTTCGTTCTTTTAGAACTGAAAATGAGTTCTGCTTCATGGGAAGAAACTTCAATACCAGACGCCATAGTGGCAACTCTACTCCAGACATAGACTCACGAAATAAAATAAGCTAAAATACTCCTTGCTGATCACCCAGGAACGCAGATCAGCATCGCAAACGATGCCACCGATGGCGTCACATGATGCATGTCTCAGAGCGACCGACATTAAAACGGATAAATATTTTCTTTTAATATGATCTATATCCGCTTGCCGTTTCGTAGGTCTTTTACCCTCAGAAATAAAACCGTATGAATTCTGTCATCAGAACCATTCGTCGGTCAACGCTCTTCCGGTCCAAGCTCACTACAGGTCGATCTGAAAAAAGTTCAAAACATTCACTCACGGGTTGGAACGCGCCGAGGACAGCATTGCGAGTAAAGCAGTGTGACTCGTCGGGTGTTGTTCTGCAGCTCCTGAGGGCAAGGTTACACCTTCTGTATCTTCACAGCGATGCAGGAACGGCAGCTGGAGAATGCAGCTGCTAACAGTCAATTGCGAACATGGCGTCAACGAGGATCTTTAGACGAAAACTTGGCGGGAACCGGTTTTCATTTCTACCGATGAGTATTCTTCTTTGACTCTTCAACGATAAATTTTCCGTTTCAGTGATCCAGTTCCGCAGGCATCAGCCGACGATTTGACAAACGCCCAGAAAGTGTCTCGTCGCCGCAGGAGCAGCAATGCCCGGTTGCAGTTTCATGATACCTCATTGAAACACGTGAAACTGTGTGTTTAGCCAAGCTTCGGCTACATGAGAAGAAGAGGAATATGTGTTTATTA